GAAGTAACGTCGTCGGCTTCATTTACACGTAGGTGGCATCGATTTGGCCACGTCGTTTCCACTGTCCCGATTTCGGAAGGGGCACTCAGATGTACAACTGGAATTCGGTATACGAAGCACAAACCCCGAGGATGTGGTAATGATTAGTTTTTCCCCCTTGCTACTTCCTACTTCACGCTACACGCACACACTAATCTACCTCACTTACTCACAACCTTATCGCGTGTACCCCTTCCAACCGCAGACCACTTTCTACATCAACGGGAAAGGCAAGTGCCAATGGAAAGGCACCAAGATAAAGGAATCCCAAGCAGCGGAATGCAGTAAGATTTCTTGCTTGCCATTACCCACTTCAGAGGATATGGTGCGCAATGGGAACTCCGATTTGGTCAAGTTTGTGGCCACTTTCTCACGGAACGGGGAGGAGGAATATACTAACTTTCAATGGTATGGACCCATAAACACCTTAGTTGTCACCGTCGATTGGACGCAGGGAGGTGAGTCAATGACCGCACTGAGAAGGCAGGCCTACTTTCCCTTCTTCTTCATCATCTTCCTCTTTTCTACTGCAATTCCCTCACCCGTCGCACTCCATGTTGAGAGAGTTGCAAACCCCGTGCAATGCACGTGGGTATGTGAGCCACCCAAGCAACTGCAGACACGCAGAAGTAACGAGAGCATTGCATTGGTGTAGGTGAATCACCGGAATTGAAGGATTTCGACAGTAAGTGCGTGCGTGCGTGCGTGTGTGCCTGGGTGCAAACGTGTCCACGCTGCAGTGGTATTGGGACTGCCGCCCCAACCGAATGAAGCTTCCGCATCGTGGTTGCAAACTGCTCTTACACGCTTGACACCGGCATAACAACACCTAGCATTTTGTGCCTCCTTTGACACTCGTAACCCGCTCTGCAACTAACAGTTTGGGCAGCTACTTGCGGTGGGGCTGTGAGTAAGTCTGCCTCCTCTAACTCCTCCAAAGTGCACACTTTCACCCCTGCAATCTGCACTACTTACTTTCACCATGACATGCTTTGTTGGCTCTACTTGGTGCGGTCGAGCCGCGACCACTTC